AGGAAAAAAGTGAAGCTTGTGTCTGAAGCAGGGAGGGCAGAACTGGAATTTGGTCTGCTTTTCATTCTTTTTTCCTTTTTTTTTGCCTTTAATGCAATTTGGCAGCTTACGATCACATAAATGCATACTGACATTGTGTTTTAAACTCATGAACTTCACTGATAAGAGACTGGTGTTTTATGAAAGGAGCATGTCCCATTCCCATTATTTTCAGCTATCTCCAAATTCCACATGTGCAAAAGCCAATCCATTCAGTTGCTTTTTCTCCTGTAAGGACCTTGCCATCTGCTTCCTTTCCCAGAGACAGGCCACCTGAGCACGTGCAACACATCCTACTACACTCACTATCAGCAGCTCTATGAGACCTGCAGATTGGAAAATCCAGAATTAAGAGATCTTCTTTTTTCTGTTTACAACCTTTCAAGTGAAACAACATTGATGACTTTGTGTGATCATAACTGTTCTCAAGTCGCAGTATGCCAAGGTTTATCTGGAATGAAACAAATACTTCATTTCTGAAAATTCCTTACAAAATACCTGTACTCACCAGGCACATTTCTTCTGCAGTTGCTTTCAGAACTGGCATGCTATTCAGTCCCACGGTAAACAATGACTGCACCTGGAATGCTCCTCTAGCCTAGTAAGCTTTTCCAACTTCTCTGCTCCTTTCCAAGTACTGCATGAACAAGCAGGAAAAGACAAGTCTGCTGGCTGAGGAAAGGTGCAAGATGAGCAGGTGCCATGAAGAATTCAACATGTCCAAGTATTTGATTTGCAAACCTGTTCTTCAGCTTTTGCTATTTGTTTGTCTAGAACCAACATACGCCCTCCACAAAAACAGACGATTATTAAAATCCAGTGGGATTTTATAACGGGATCAACTACAACTGTCCCTTGGTACAAAAGCCATTCTCTCTCCATTAGTGCCTTCTAAGCATTATCATGTTCAATGCATAAAAGATTCAAACTCATGATATGCCAGTTTTGTTATTTCCAAGGCAAAATTTTATTATTTTCCAGAGATCTACTTGGACACTTTTCTTAACAGCATTCTTAAGCTTTGAAGAGTGTGCTGCAAATTCTTTGCTTTTCCACATGTGGGGAAAGAAATCCAACCCATACCTGGATTTAATTAGAGAGGAAAAATTTAATGTTCAAAATGTTTTATGCTTCCAGCACTCCTAAAAAAAGCATCCACCTTTCTTCTGAAGTGCAAGTCATCTTTATTTTCAAATTAGTTTCAAGAACCTATGCCATGCCTCTCTTGAACATGGACAAATTTATCCTCAACCTTTACCTTCCACACTTGCAATCTCTCCATGGTAATGGCAGATTTTGAAAGCTATTCCAGTGCTCAGGCCTGTGGAGCTCACATCCTCCCTCCTCCCACACCAACCCTTTCACCTTACTGAAGGAAATGAGAAAGAAAGTTTTCTTACCTATAACTCCAAGGTTAATGTCCCCTGCGAACCCCACCTAGCAAGTCGACATCATGACATGTCAGGTCAGCCTCAACCACGCTTCCCTGATAGTCAGGTAAAAGGAAGGAGTTAAAATACAAAATTGACACTTGCAGATTTCTGGACATCAGAAAATATATTCTGAACTGTCTTTCAGAGCTTCTGGTAACCTCCAAGTTGTTAAAACAACATTTCTTCAGAGGGATTCTCCTGTTCTAAAATTTCAGAAGTTCCTGATCAATAACAAAGTATCGCAGATCCACCTTGACTATTTTATTTGAATAGCTGATGGTTTCCCTTTAGTACAAGTCATTTTTTTCTCCCTATTTTATATATTTTATCAACTAATGCATGCTCAACAAAACTGCTCTGGGTTTCAAAGGACAATTTAAGCCAATAGACTACAACAGCTTCATTCAAGTTCTAAGTTAACAGAAGCTCTAACTTCTTTTTGTTGTTGTTTTAGAAAAGACAGGAACACAACGTGGTACACTCTTTCTATAAGGCTCTGAGCTACTCACATAGGTCACATGAATAACAGAATTCTACTGACAACCTCCACCTCACAAGCAATCCTTAATCACACACATACTCCACCTCAAGTCATGAATGATCAAAGATTGCAGATGACAGATTTCTAGATGTCCTTGCTGTTCTATGGATGTGCCACCAGCATTTTTGGGTAACAATTAAGTCCTGCTGAAAATACATTCATTCAGTGGGGTCTATGGGTCTTGGTACCGAATGTTTTTGAGAGGTTTAAGACTTTTTGCTCAGCACCTCACATTTATTTCTCTCCTAGCCTTATAATAAGAGTGTCCTCTGTATTTTTTTTCTGTGTAGTTCAAATTATAGAAATGGGCTTAATGTCCAAACATAGAAGGGACAAAAAGTGGTCAGGTTTTTATACAGAGTCACCAAAATCATGCGGTGATCTTCTACTTCGAGTTTATTTTGGAAAGGTTTAAGCAATGCAGTTGTCATTCTTTAATAATCAGACTACAGAAGCTGAGATTTAAAAATAAACAATTGCTAGAAAACACTTTGAAAAAATGCAAACTATGTTGAATGAAATAGTAAAATTATAAGTTCAGTTTAGTAAACTAACTTGTTAATAAAGTGAAATTAAGTATATAATAACACAGTAGCTGTAAAGTATTTTGCTTGAGTTTTGGAACTGCTAGGAATCTGGTAACTTGCTTCTTAAGTCAAACACCTTATCAATACAGACATTTAAGCAACTGCTATAAATGAGTGATCAAATAATTATTAGAACTCCATTTCATGGCTCCTCCTCCAAAGCCAGCAGGACACTCATAAAAGCTGAATATTGGTGTGCAAGTTGAAATCCATTTTCAATATATTATAGAGGATTTTTGCTAAGTTATACTGAAGAAACAATCAAAAGAAATGTGCGAGAGTAAATTTAAATTTATTTTTGAACTAGATGTCAAAATTGTGCTGAGAATTCTTCCCTTGAGTCAGGCATGGTAGTTTTCCACTGTACTACAGTATCTTTCGTTAATTTTTTTCCATAATTTCATTAAGTTCTTCAAGTTCAGCACACACCACTATTCAAATAAGCTGTAGCACACCTTATCTAAGGATTAAATAAAATTACTGCTGCAAATTTAAAAGGTGAATTTGAGTAGCCATAAACCATGTAAATCAAAGAACTTGGTATATCTTGCAAATATAAACTACTGAGTTTAACTGTTATGATTTTCAATTATAAAAACTAATAGCTCGCCCCACATATTTAATAAAACTACTCGTATAAATGATGATTCGGGGAAAAGTAAATACAAGATGCAACCTTACAGTTCTTGAGGAAGACAATTTGAACATTTTTGTTTCTCAGCTCTTTTGTAACCACTATAACTGAGGTGTTTAACTTCCTCCCCACTCCCCCCACAGCACTTACTAGCACCTCACCTCTCCTAGGCTAATGTGCAATATGGGAACACTACCTTCTTCCAAGATGGACAGGACTTGAAACATGATTCCAACTAAGCTCCTCGTACTAGATCCCCTTTACAATGAATACTGAAAAGCCAATGCTTATTGGGACTACAGGGTTCTGCTCAGCACTACAAGAGCTGTATAACTACCAGAAAGTCATATGGATAGGGCAGCAAAACTTTGTGTAGAACAGAATTACAAACCACATCCTCATGACAAGCAAAAGCCTGAAGCGTATATGCAGGCAATAGCCCTCTGAGTTCACTGCTCAGGTAAGAAACAGAGAGGACATGATTTGGCCCCATTAGCTTTATGAAGTGGGGAAAAAAAACCAACAAACCCCAACATACTAGATATTGATTTTTTTAAAAGCACTTTTAAGCTACTTATGACCAGTTCTATTAATTGGAAAAGCCTGCCATGGGCAAACCCATTTCTGAGAAGCAGATAGACATCTTCGATTCAGGTCAAACCCTGCAATCCCATTCCAGATCCACAGCAGTGTGGGGAGGCACATCTTACTGGGTATATTCTGACAGAACACACTTGAGACACCAGACAGGAATAGAAGACAAAGGGAGGAGTATGACCACTGAAGTTTAACTTCCTCAATAGTCTGTGTTTGGAATGCTGTAAATCAAGTATGAGCAATGTATTGGATTTGGATATTTAGAGGTCCGGCAATAGTTTTCTTTAGAGAAAGTATAAATCCGTTTGTTTCTCTCTTTTCTTGAGAAGCAAATGTTCTTCATTGTGGTACAGAATGGCTTAGATGCAACACAAGAGTAATGTCATGATTTGCCAGTTAAAATTGACATCTGGGAATGTCCAAGACAAGGGTCAAAGCAACACATAATATAATGTAGCTAGCAATGCCCTCAAAAGATAAAGTCTTAAACTTTTTAACAGCCTTTATTTTAAGGCAGGAGGATTCTAAGGCAAATTGTTCATCATGGCAGAACATCAAATTAAAATGTCAAGATAGAAATAAGCAGAATCTGGAGAGTATGTTCGCGTTATCTGTAGCAAGAAATTAATTTAGCGTGCCACAGCACCCAAGCTGTAATTCTCATTCCTAGTCAATTATTATCTGAGATTAGATTAAGATGCTTGAGATCAAAATAATTTCCCTGCGTGTTTGTACACTCAATTATACAATAAGGCTGGATCCTACCAGAACAGCCTCCACAGGGACTCCAGAGAACATCACCAAAGGAACAAAATTAACACCATTGTAGGATCTGCTTCCTTCTCCACATTACATTAGAAGACTAGATTTAAATTAGATCTCTGTGAATGCTTCGATACAATTCAACACTTTTAAATAGGGAAAAAAAGTTTCAAAATTAGATGCTGATAAATTATTGAACAGCAATTAAACAGTGAGTGCCTTTTGGGCTGTCTGTAATTTCTCCTAGTTTTCAGTCTGATGTCCACAGTGCTACATGTTGGAAAGCACAGGAAATTTTGCACGAATTTGATCACTCACATAGGCAGTTATACTTTGAAAACAGTATTTTTCACAAGAATTACCAATGAAATAATGTTTTAGGACACAATTGAATTTGAAATAGGTAATGTTTTGAATAGATTTTTGAGTTTTATTGAAATCTTACATGAACAAGAAATTGGAAATACAATCACATCAAGGAACAAATTGCCACGGCTTTGACGTTTTAAGCCAAACAAATTTTGTAGGGCAGATTTTCAAAAAGGTGTGAAGTTATAACAATTTAAAAACACAGTTATCCTACTTCTAGGAATGCAAAACATACAATCATGTTATTTTCAATACAAGAAAACTTAATTTGTTGTAATTTCTTAAAACTACTAAGACAAAGCACTAGCTTTTACTTTTATGTACAGCATACTCCTATGTAGTCTATCCCAAATCCAAAAAAAAAAAAAAAAAAAAAAAAAAGAAGAAACTGTCCAAAACCAGAGGTTCTGCAAAATCATGATTGAACAGTGTGCCATTCCTGCTTTTAAACTGCTAAAGTGAAGCCTAAAATGATAAAAGCACTGAAACCCCATAAGGAGTTCAGGAATTCTGCAAGCCCAGTAATGTCCAAGTGCGTTTATGAAAAAAGAAAACTAAGAGACTCGAGTATATACACAATAGAGTGATTCTTCAGCCCAATACAAATGGCAGCCAATCGCTACTGAAGGATGAAACATTAAGCCAATTTTTTTTTTTTTTTTTGAAAGATGTAGAGCTATAGCCAATTCTATGTTTCCAATATTCTCAATCCCTCCTCACTTGTCTACTTCCACTGTTGCCCATAAGTATCCTGATAAAATTCCTGGTTGTCATTATTGTAACCATAGTTACCGGCATAGTCACCACCTTGCTGGAGCGGCTGCTGAGCGATGGGTTGGGAGCCCCAATTCTGCTGGTTGTTGGTCTGACGGCGCTTGGAATCGGGTTGGTTGTACCCATCTGCCTTTCTCTTGCCTCCTACGTTGCCCCCACGGTTGCCCCTGGCTCCACGAGCACCGCGTCCTCTCTGCTGCTGCGCAGGGCCCCCTCTCCCCCCCCTGGCTCCTCTCGGCGGTCCCATGGGTGCCCCCCTCTGTGAGTAGCCAGCTCTACCTCTTGGTGGTGGTGCTCCCCGCCCCCTAGGTGGTGGAGGGGCACCTCTCCCACCCCTTCCTCCTCCTCCTCTTCCTCTTATAGCATAGCCATCATCATAGCCGTAATAGGGATCTTCATAGCCACCACGGTAGTCATGATAGTCATAGCCATAGTAATCATCATAATAATCTTCATAGCCATAGTAATCTGGGGGATAGCCATATCCACCTCTTCCTCCACGGCCTCGGCCTCTAATAGGAGGTGGCATGCGAGGCGGAGGGTAGTAATAATAGTCTTCATACCTAGCAAGGAAAAGAAGCACAGAATTATTTATCTCCAAAAGCAACCCAAAACACAGTCTACATTTGCCCTTGTCGATTAACAATATGCAACACGGAGAAAAGTCAAGTCAAGGCATTGAGCTCCTCTAGACCAGCCCCTGTTTGACAGCACAACTCCACCCTGCAGCATTACCACGGTGCGAGGGTGACACTCACGCAGTGCTCCGGGAGGCCTGTCTGGCAGCCTGACGTTCTTTCCTTTTCTTATCCGGTGGCTTTGCTAATACTATTTCAATTTCTTCCCCTTCTATCTCTTTCCCATTCATTTCATTCATAGCCTGTACAAAAATTAAAAGAAAAATAACTAAAAATGTTTTTCCATTCAAAGGGAACTAAAACTTATTGCAAGAAACCAGACAGCTGGGCTGCTCCAGGCTGAGATGTGCCATGTGCTTTGCTTTTGTACTACATAAGCAGAATGTTACACATCACTTTTCCAAGTCCCACTTTATTCACCAGTTACAGGGAAGCAGTATATGTTTTAAATACAATTTTTATACCGTAAGATAAAAAAGAGGATTAAAACATATTAAGAATTATTTTTATGAAGTCAGACATAGCACCATCGGGTTTTATGTTCCTGTATCTTCTAGAAATCTTTCAGAAATAAACAAGTTCTCACTACTCACACTGACATAAACACTCACTCCATTTATAAGCCTAGTAGAACATGTGCACACAAGAGCAAGAATTGTTATGTTTGGAGTTCCCAGGTAGCTGAATGTGAGTTAAGTGACTGAGAAAATCAAGTAGTTCTGAAGACACATACTTGAGGAGAAAAAACCAAAGAAGATTACTGAAACTTGGTGATCTCACCAAGCAAGCCCTGAAACCTTCAGAAAATTAATGTGCAATTTTTTACTATTAAATGCACCCACAAAGAGAACTTAATACCTAATTAGGACGAGACATTCCAATTCCTCGCCTGGAGTTATCTGCTTTGCATTAAACTTTTCTGGGTACTAGTATTTGCATTAATGAAGACTTTGTGTCTGTACACCTCTATGCCTCAAAAGCATTAGAAACTGTGGCAATTTATTTCCACATTATTACTGATGAAAATCACTACATGCTAGAGTCAATGATCCAGTTCCATGCATTCCACACATAAACACCATAACTTCATTGAAAGCCAAAACACATCCATACACAAAAATATCTCAAAAGTTCATAAACCAATTTAGTGGCCATGAAGCAGTCACACGGGCCAGATGTGGTAGTTCCTAGCTTGAGATGAGCGTTAGTGATGCATTTGATCTGTCTTTTTCTCAGCTGCTACAAGTTTCCAGTTGCTGAAATCTAACAGAGCATTTAGCAGGTAATTGTACTGGGAAGAGGCTGGAAAGTGTTTACAGACATACTACAGAAAACCACATCCAGAAGAGTTGCTGACTTACCCCTTGTTTCAACAATTTCTTGTCCTCCCTCAGACATGGTCTAAACCTATCCAAACCAACCTCAACCTCGTTAAGTACAAGTGATATTCATCTTAAAGCCATAATCAGGAGTATTCTAAAACCTAATCTCTCATGTAGTAAAATCCTAAGCAATTAAATGGCTATAAAATCATTAATAAGATCGAGTACAGAGTCTTTGAACTGTCCATGTAGCCACATACACCACATGCAATATATCTGCTTCAAGACTCCCAAATGCAAAAAACACTTCCTACTCTACTTCTTCCCTCCATAAACCATGGATTTAAAAAACAGATGGGGTAATTTCTACAGAATTCAATATACTGAAGCACAGACAGCAGATATTAATGATGTTCTCAACAGCTCATGGACACAAAGGAAGAGAACACTGAAGCTCACAGTAATAATCCTCAATATTTAACAAGTCATTGAGAAGAAACCTCAGATGCATGCAGAGTAAAAACAGATAATGCTTAAGAGTCGCCAACACCATTCTCCTGGCCTTCACAAAGCATTTTTTAATTACCTCCCAATTTCTATTTGATACTTTTGTCACTCCAAAACTACAAACAGCCTTTAAACAGGGGTCTTTGAGAGACAACTGATACCTTCTGCCAAGTGTTTCCTCAGAAAAATTGTCTAGGTTTATCTTTTTTTTTCCTCTTCTCTAGACTCTCCTGCATTGCTCTACACCTCTTTTCCAGTCTACTTGTTAACTCGCTACAGTTTTGTCCTTTCAAGTTTCACATCCTCCTAGCTACTGAAATCATAGGAACAATATTATTAGCACTGACATTCTCACAAAGGAAACCTTATTAAACGGGCTCTGTGGTTTGTCTTACCGGGGTAGTTACTGTAAAGAAATTTCTTAAAACCATCAGTAAAAATTGAAGTGGTCTCACCAACTTAACTAGGAAAGAATAATTAACCTACCTTCACTGCTGCACCTCTGTCCTCAAAATGAACAAACGCATAATCCTTCAACTTCTTTACTCTTTCCAGCTTTCCAAATTCAGAAAAGGATTTCTCAAGAATTTCTTCTGTCACAGTAGTGGCCAAGTTTCTTACAAATAAAACTTTAACCTGGTGAAAAAATGAGAACAAAGCTGTAATCTTTACAAGTCAAACCTCAAAGGAAACTCCCAACTAGTAAGACATTATTCCCTTTTCTGTTACATTAACAAATTTGGGTTACTTTACTAATTCTGAATCTGTTTAAAAAAAAAAAAAATGCCTTGTAGTTAACTGTATGAAGTTTCTACAACTTCTCTCCTTCCACAGTTCCCCTCCACAACCAGAAGAATATCCAACTTTGATTTTCTGCTTCTGGGATGCCACAAATCCCAGCAAAATTTTATTAACAGACCTCAAGGACAGCAAGGAGTTACCCAAAAACACAGGGAATAAAACGCATGTCATTCCCCACACTGAACTTCACCTTTATCTCATTCTGGAAAATAGTTTTACACAATACCTACCGGGTATTGATTACAGCTAAAGCAGAAAATGCACAGCCTGATGTGTCAATCCAGCAGGATAACCCTGCACAGGACTAATTTAGATGTTAACAGCACTTAGTAACAGCACATTTCCAACATCTTCCAATGGCAACTCATCCACAGCACTCAGACAACACCATTGCACAGCTCAGTGTGAAAATGCCCTCTAATTGCTTTCTGCGCCTCAAAACTAGCCCTGCTCAGCTGGAACAAATCTTTGCCACTACAGCATAGTCCTCCCAAAGCACAAGAGCATCCAGTGAAGTGATTACTGACCTTTGCCATGACTTCTGGATCAGGTTCCTCTACTGGATCAGCCCATTCCACTGTAACAACATTTCCCCAGACTTTTACTTTCCCACTCATCAGGCGTCGGCGAGCTTGTGCTGCTGACTTGTGATCCTCATACTCCAAGAAGCAGAATCCACGATTCTTCTTTTTATCATCAGGTTGATGATACAAAATTACATCCACCAAACCCTCTGAAAAACATATCTTTAGTACTGAGCTTCAAAAGAAAAGTAAAAATCTAGAGTCTACCCTAAAATGCCTTCACTCATGTTTTGCAGTGAATTTGAATTTTACACCTGAAAGGGGTTGGGAGCACAAGAAAAGCAAAACAAATAGCTAATATTCAATTTACCCAGAAACATGTCACCTAGCAACTGAAATTCCACAGAATAGGCTGTGTAAAACACCAACCTCAGCAACTCACAAAGTCTAAGTTTTCTATACTTTTAAAATAATTCTTACAAGTTTGAAAGGCAGCCAGCACTAACATATGACCTCTCCCCTGCCTCCTGCAGAACCTAGAAGGAACATCTTCCACATCTCTCCAAAAAGAGGAGAGAGAACTAAATGAATATTCACCTTCTGTTTTCACCACTTCCCTGAAGTACTTATAAATAGAAATCCTAAAAAAGAAGCAGGAGGTTAAAGCTCTCCTACAGGAACAAGAGCAAGTGACTCAATCTCTTATCTAAGGCAGAAGCACCCTTTCAGTGATGAGCTGACTTCTCTTCTTCCTACTTGCTGCACATACTGGAGAATGCTGAAAAACTGGGACAAAAAATTAGTCTGTTATTAACTATTTCTCTAGTAATATTCCCTCTAAACCAATTCAGTACTCCCTCCTCCCCTTCACTACTCAGGAAGACATTTGCTTCAGGCTCCCCAAAAACGTCTCCATGTTGACAGCAGAACCTCCTGTAGATCCAGTAACAAATACAGAACCTTCAACAGAAAGTTAAAACAGGTAACAGAATTGGAACCTTTACTTTCTTCAGAGTTCATGTGTGCTGGTTTTTGAGTTCATTCGAGCTGTTTCTGTCTCTAATTGTAAAGTTACATCATCATTCATTTAACAATCACCAAAAACAGACACAAGTCCCTTTACACTCCACCTTAAGATATAGTACATATATAAAATTTCTGATTAAATTAAAGTGGGAATCCAACTTGAAAATAGTTTAACTGATACCTGAACACATCAGGCAAACAACTAGACCAACAAAACAGAGACTAAATGGTGTTCTGGGACTCATTAAGTCTTACCTGTGACTTTACCAAACTCCTCCAATATGTTTTCCTTAGTTTTGTTCTTTGGAATTGACCCAACAAATAACCTGTTGTTTGCCACGGAGATGCATACTCCAAGGTGCTTTCCAGGACGGATTTCATAGTTGTCACACTGAAAAAACAAAGCCATTGATTTGCTTTATACAATACTATGCATAAAAATATCCCCAAATCTTAAACTCAGGTATTTTTTTCACCATCTACTACTTTTATACATAGCATATTGAATTGGCATTGCAAGAGAATTCTTAGAACAGATGTTTTTGGGTCAGCATTCACTTGAAAGAACAGGGCCAAACTTAGGATTTCCACAGACTTCAGAAGTCTTGTTGAATGGAAAGCTACAAAAAAACTTGCTGTAACAGGAACAACATGGGACCATATACAAATTGCATTGCACGAATTTATTCACCTACTGTTTATCTCAGACTTGAAAGCTCTTTCTAGCAACTGGTTACTGCTTCCTCTGCTGTCAGTCAACTGCTGCTGCTGTTATCAGTAAGCAAATACATGGCATTAAAGATACTGGGAGTTCTTCCTCTTTCCTTGGATAGCACTGAACACTGAGAAGGTTTGCCAAGACAATCAACAGTCTAAATCGGTCTGTGACCTGGCTTCTACCCCATCCCAAACAGCAGGCATTTTTTTGAATTTCTCCATGATAGAATTAAAAAATTTTACTGTCAAGATTTAAAACATCTATTTAAAAAAATCTAGCCCACTGCTTCATGCCTGTACCCACAGCTAGGTTACTTTGAAAATAAAGACTCCCAATGGCCTTTAAAGGTACAAGAATTCAGCCTTAAAAAAAAAAAAAAAAATCAAGATAGACATAGTCTTTGTTTTAGTCAGGATTTTTGAGGTTGGATGAATCTAGCTGAGACATAAGCCCTAAAAATGACAGCAATACCTTCAGGAACCTTCTTGATATTCTAGAAAAATGTTAAGGTACCACAGACTACCAAACAATATCACTTCAAGGATGACAAAAGCATTTCAGAATTTTGCTTCACAGATTGAAGTGATTCCTAACAAAGTAAAACTTTTTGTTCTGGTGCTATGAACTTATTAACCTGAATCTGGTTTTCACATTGTATCTTATGCAAAGCCATTTTGCTTACAATCAATACCACTCCCACTGGTGCCTTGCTGACACAAGGAGAAGGCCCAAGTGGTTTTAACTGCTTTTAAGTTTCTTTTAAGTTTCTCCCTGCCCCCACCAGCTTAACTAAGGTTTTCAGACTTTACCCCTCTTCTTCATCCCTCATTCAGGATGAGCTGAATTCCACTAAGGCAACTGAGATCAGGCATTTCACCTGTTTTGGTTCAAAATATACACAGTATTTCACAGCCAAATTCAAAATCTTGGGAGATACACCCTAGTCTGCCTAATTCTACTTCTTCCTCTCAGGCAGAGGCAAGGCCCCAATCAGACTGCTGCTCTCTCTCTAACCTCCTACTGCTCTGTGTCTTTTCCCAATTTGTCTAGGTACATGCATGTCAGCTTCCAAGCATGACTGGAAAGAACCAGAAGGCCACTGGAAAAAACCAAAGTAACTAATTCAGAGACCTCCCCATGGCAGCAGCAGCTAAATAAGGCCTCTCCAATTAGCTCTTTACAATAGAAAGGGTGATGAAACTTAAAACACACTGAAACTCAAAAAATGTATCTTCTAGTTGGACTCAAGTAGGCTCCAAACAATCACATAAGTACTCTGATCAGCCACAGTAAGGTACAGCACATAACAGTCTTATAAGTTGTAATTATCTGTACTTACCAATGAAATCAGGAGGCAATTTTTAAGAAAGTAAAATTTTGAATCTGTCAATGGATGCTTTGAAGATTTCACTACTTAAGAAATTAGCAACATGTTTGCTTTTTACTTTGTCGTGACCTGTCTGGAAGAAAGTTAACTCACCAGTTTGACTGCTTCTTGTGCTGCATCTTTACTACAAAAGGTAATGAAAGCATAACCTCTGTTTTGACCAGAAAGAGGATCCATCATGAGACGCAGATCCCAAATTGGACCAGCTTTCTCAAAGAGTGGTACCAATTCATCTTCATAAAGGTCTCGGGGAATTTTACCAACAAAAACCTAAAAAAGAAGAGGACACTTGAAACAAAGCTTTTTCAGAAATACAAGCTTCTTTTTAACACTTGGAAATTCCTGGGAAAGGAAGAACAATGCAGATAAAACAGCAGAGCAGAAACACTGCAGTCACCAGTGCAGCCTTCACAGCAGCTGATGTTATTGTATGTCCCAAGTGTTTTAATCCACCTGCTATTTGTAGGAGATTTTAAACATAGCAAACCTGGGTTTGTTATTTATATTGAAGAGGCTGTGAATTTCCCCTGCTGAAGAGATAAATGGTTCTTACCTGGTTTTAATTTTGGCAGTTAAAAACTAAGACCTTACAGACTATCTAGTTGGGTATCATATGTTAAAGCAGGCCAAGCACTTCCTTGCTCTTGCAGTATTTTCAAATCACTCTGTAAATTACTCTTCCTTGGAAAGCTACAGAGATGGAAAAATAATTTAATAATAATAATAATTTCCTTTTAATTGTGTGATGCACTTTTTCCACTTTTAATATATACTGTAGTCTTGTTTCTCGTCTGCACTTGTTTCAGCTTCCACCAACCAAATGTTTCATATTTACTTAAGCAAACCTGTGAGTTCTTGTGGTTTTGTTCTGTACAATTAACTTGGGTTAAGTTTTGTTAAGGAGTTAATATCTTTAGCTGAGGTCTCCCTAGGAAGATCCCCCCAGTTGTTTAATCATCACAGCTCTCCTCCGAAATCTCAAAACCTCTTCCTTGTTAATACAAACAGAACATTCCAAACACCCATTAAGATAAAAATAAATTTATTTTAACTTCAAATATTTTTGTAGAAAAAAAAGCCACAAGTCAACATTTTCCTTCTCAGTAAGGCCTTGTCATAATTGTATCTCACAGTGAAGGCACAGCAGAATTTCAGAACTAAAGACACTCAGCATGCCCATAATAAGCACCAACATAACAAAGTCATGAGGAGAATACGACTAACTTGCAAAACATGGAACAAGGTAGAACTTCTAGATGCTTCATGTTACACAGATGTTCTTGAAATTCAGTTTCCAGACCAGTTCTTAAAAGCTTAGCCTCTCTCAGTTCAGAGTGAATGTAGACTGAACATTACTTATTGGGGAAAAAAGGAAGGAACTGATTCATCACACTAAGTGAAAGTTTAATGGCAGAGCCAAAAGGTTTTCCCCACCATGTCCCCAGAAAGCTTAAGGTAAGCTTAAGCTCTAGATAGATATTTACATTGTCATTATCATTATCATTTACATTAATCTGGAACACTTAATTCTAACTCATTTGCAGCTTTTAAAGACAAAAGCTCAATTAGCACAGAGCATACAAACCTAAGCAGAGCTTGAGAAGTTATACACATCAGTATTATCTTTCAGTGCAAGGACTCATTCTAATTATTTGCCACCACCACCACTAAATTAATTTTCCTTCATGGAATATGAACATTCCCTTCAGAAATCACCTTTACTGTGACACTTCTTGACAATAAACACAAGAGCTTCAGCATCTCAAAGAGTGGAAAACTTATCTATAAACTGAAAGACATTAAGGAGACTGATTGTTTTCTCAAATCTAGTCTGGTGGTTTATAGAAAAATCTCTGAAAGAACTCCTGTATCAGACATGCAGCAGTGTGACAGAGTATCTGAAGTATGTATTGAGCATGAGCATGTATTACAAAACAACCTGCTAGGGACTAAAACCTGGAAGAATAGCTAAGTGAAGAACTACACAGTTCAAGCATTTTCATAACCAAACCTAAGTTTGCTCACAGCTTGCTAGGAAGACACACAGGTTCAGTCACAACCTTAAATTTCCAAATAATTGCTTACAGACTAGACTTTGTCCTTTAGAAGGAAAAAAAACTTCAAGTCTTTGAAACTCTTCCAACTATCTTCTAACTTTAAAAAGAACAGGTTTTTAGTATATCCCATCTCTTTTTCCTCCACTTCAACCTATCTTCCTGTCTTTTGCAGACTACTGAGGAGTAAGAAAGACTGATTAAGACACACACAGAAGATTATTTCCTCTACAAGACATTAAACTTGCAATATGGTTTATTTTCAAGTATTTCCTATTTATGAGTTTGCATAAGTATACAAAGCAATTATCAGATTAGTCTGTTTATACCAACCTCTGTTCCAATGCCAGGCTGAACACCAGAATATACAGTATCTGGAGGAGGACCCCCATATTTCCTCTGTCCTGTAGTTACATCCAAAGTGTAACCAGTCCGCTCTAGCAAAGCCTGGGGGGAAAAAAAAAAAAAAAAGTCAGACTACTTACAGAAGAGAGGGCAGTGGGTTAAAATATACAGAACAAAAAAACATTCCAAGAGAAGCAATTCTTTGTCTGCTCCTTGCCACGCTTGATAAGGCAGATATGAAGAGATGGAAGCGACACAGCTGCTTTGTGCCTTTCAAAAGCTATCACAAACAGCAGCACTTGTTTTATATTACAAGGTCGCTGGGAAGAACTTGTTTGCCTTTTCCCTTATTTTCCATTTTATATGTAGCACCCCAAGAAGTGCAGAACACTGGACAACTGAGACAATTCTTAAACAGATATCAATGTTTTTATAGAGCTTAAATTTTGGCAACTGTGTGATCAGAAAGAGCTGCATTTCCAACAACCCTTCTCTAAAGAATCTCTATCATGCATGCACTTCTTTAAAGCCCAGTCTGAATATACTTATCCAGGTGGCACTGATGCTTTTTGAGTTCATATTCAGTCTATGTACAAGTAATATATCAGCTAGTACAGAATAACCAGCATCTCCAAGTGTTACCTTAATCTTTGCTTCATCTGGTCCCTTCGTTGATTCCTGTACTTTGCTGCCTTGTTTCTCTCTTTGCCTGTAGGTCTTCATAACTCCACATAAAAATGCACTTTTGTTCTGTAGATACAATTTACAAAATAATTCAATTGTGTGTATGACAAGCCCTGGGAATCCACTGAATCTTACACTCCATACCATGAAGTCACTACTTCAAGTCAATTAAATAAATCAAATGTCAAAAGAATCCTTCAGGAAAACACAATAATTAAAAAGTCATCAGATTCCAAAAAGCATTTTAGCTATTTTCTCAATTGCACGCATATTTTTGTTATCTGGGAGGTTTTGCTTTGTGCTCAAATACCTACACATTTAAGGCAATTTTGAACAGACTTGTTATTTGGGTTTGAAACATAATACAGCAACATCAGTGAATTTCCAAGTTACAGCTCTCCTGCCAGCGGTGCCAGAACACTACTGATACTTATGTGCTCACACTCCTGGGGCTCTCACCTTACCTGTACATGCGACAGGTCACTTTCTTTAAATTGCTGTAATACAGAGAGGGCTCCTTCTTCATTAAATTCCCTAAGAGCATCAATTGCTCTTTCATCAAGATCGACATAAGCTACCAAGCCTAAAAGTTAAAGATAAAGAAGTTACAGATTTCTATTGTATTTCATACAAACTAAGAACTATGCAATTTGCTTTTAAAGCCAAAAAGTTACATTCCATAGCAACAGAATTATACATTTAATTATATATTCCTACACAAGTATATGAAAGAATATGAGTACAATGAAAAAGTTAAATTAAAATGTATATACCTAAGCACTAACTGATGTGCAAGATTTTATCCCGTGTGTAACAGTTTTCCAGCATTCAGGAATGCAATCTGCTGCATATAAGCAGTATTACACACCAGGATCTGAAACAATGAACTCTGGCTCACTTTTAATGATTGAATTTTGTTTGTTTATCCCTCATTTTAAGTTTCATACTTCCTTCTCTTGAGTTGAGCTGTTTTAGAGTAAACTGACAGGTGAACATTACAAGTATCCTATTGTATGGGAAAAAGGAACTACCCAACTGAAGATCAAATACCTAGGAAGCTCTACCCCACAAAATAGTAGGAAGCAAAAATGATTTGTTCACTCTTTCCTCCAGCTTCAAAAATGCAGGAGTCAGTGGACTTCATGTGTATCTTAAACAGTGTTTGGGGCTTTTGAAACTTATTTTGTTGCTCTATGCAGTTCCAAGAGACAGAATTGAAAAATTTTGAGCCCTGCTATGTACCCAGAAAAGCTAATGTTAACTTTACAGGTACAGACTCCCCCAAGAAACACTGGACCAGTTCTGAAGCATTTATTTTTAAGGCTCTTTAAAGGTTTGGTTTTTTTCCTTTTGTAATGCACTTGCATCAGTTGTGGAGTCAGACATATAGACTGAGATTTACACTTTTAAAATCACACATCCAAATTTAGGATAAATACTAAAACTCCACACACTTTGCAACAGCTTGATCTCCAAAATACACAGATTATTTCACTGCTACTTGATTTGGAAAATGCACAGTAGTGCCAAGCCCAAGGACTACATTTCAGAAGTGATCCTGCATATTGGAAGGCACCTGTATCTTTCATAGAAGACTTCAGCAGATAAAAAAATCACTAAATTCAACCCCAAATTTGGGTCAAGTGTCTAAAGTAGTTTGCTTCACTGACAAACCCCTCCACAATGCAAACATCTTCAGTGGCATTAATGAAGTGTAAATAATGTTTTCAGGTTACTCATGCAGTGGAATTATACTTGGTAGTCAGGTTCTGGGCTAAAAAGCTTTTAAACTCCTTAAGAACTCCTCACAACACAACCTAACTGCAACACATGTTAGAGCCCCACGAGTTCCTCTGCCCAGGTATTTATGTACACCTTCTCTGAGACCATCAAGTGCACGTCATCATGACCCACAGGTGGAAAGTGCATCTCTCTAGCCAATAAAAGCTGGTAAAGGCTTGAAGAAAGCTCACTGTGAATGACTTCCAAAAGACATCACCCACATGAGCCAGTTTCACACTGAGGATTGATAAGGTATTGGTTTTGAACTGCCTTCACTTGATCAGGGTAATTTTAACTCTTTTCAACAAAAACTGTCATTTTGCCACCCAAGCATTCAAGATAAGCACATAGAGCAGTTCTACTGCTTCTTGTAAATCTGTTCACAGAACACACTCTAAAAAGGAAAAGAAAGCCTCTGTCTATAAGATAAAATAGGGTGGTTATAAAAACAAAATAGGAAAACCTCTGTATATGAAGAAACCTCTTTAGAAGTTGCAGAGACCACTTGCTACCAGCAAGGTATTACTCAAGTTGCTAGATAGCTTAGTCCTCAACTTGGTTAGTGTCAGGCTGAACATTTCAGTGTAATAACCAACATGGATTAAACTGTCCACTCAGAACTAGAGAGAACAAAAAATCCACAGGCAGACTCAATTCAAATGTAGTCCCAGGCAAGACAAGCTAGTTGCTTCCCTCACTAAGTCACCTATCCAGCCTTTGAGTGTTTTAGAATCACTGTGACAGTGACAGTAGAAACATAAAAGCAAAATGATGATTTGGACTGAAGAAAAAAAAAATGTACAGTTTAGTATGCGGAAACATACATCTTCATTTGTCATCTAAGAAACTAGTGCTCTGTGCCCTAAAGCAACTAAGATATCACATACAACTCCAAGGATGTGTCAAGTAATTAGTCAATGTCAAACCCAATTCGCCTTTAGGGATATCAAAGTAGCAAAACATTCAGAGCTACACAGATCAAAAACAATGAATTTTTAAATCTTAATCTATAAAAATTTGAAAATGGTATGCCCTCACTTTCATAACCAATCAGAAACAAGAAATGCATATTATACCTGTCTGAAATATTTCATCAAGTCTCTCTGCCACCTTCTGTGGGAGGCCTGCCTCTATCAGTGTCTTGTAGTGTTCTGTGTGAGTTACACTGGAAGTATCCATTGGTTCTTCCTCTTCTTTTAACTGTACCGCATTACCATTCACCTGATTAGCCATTTTATTATGCTGCTGGAAAAAATTCAGGAGCTATATTACAATAAGCCAGAAATAACTAGTTTGTAGGACAATGCATGATTTATCTAAACTAATTTGTATACATGCTGCAAAATCACCTGTATCAAGTTTTATTTAATACTTTTTGGATGCAGCTGGTCTAAGTTTCAAAAGAAAGTACAACCCTTAATACTGTGGAAAATGTACATGGAAGAATTTACATAACTTTTAAAAAATGTACTTCATGTACATAACAATGTCTAAACTCCATCTACTGATTGTCATTAGCTGGTTACCATAGCAGCTAGAATGTATGGGGACACGGCAGTAACATCCTTCAGCAAAGACTCAGAAGATCTAGCGCTATTTCCATTGCCCATTCCGCTACTTTTAAAACAATCGTTTAAAATGTAGTGAACACGTAACCCTGCAGGGTAGCTTAAGGTATAAAAATGTTAATACTTGGTTCTTGTTAATACTTTTTTCCACTTGCTTGGCTTGTGGCCATGTCTTCCTTCAAACCCAACATGCTGCACAAGACTAGCCACACGCTTTCTCACGACGCTGTCAGAGCTCAAGGACAGAAAGAGAAAAATTGCACTTTGATGGACATTGTCATTTGAAGCTGCAACGCAACAGTTTCCATGCTTTCAGTTTCCCTCAAACAGGAGCTGGACAAATCACAGCTACTATTTCAATAACATACACCTTATTGGTTTAAAAGGAAGGCATGACTGCAGCATCTTCATTTCTTTATATTAATAAAAGTACTTGCTTTCAGAATTAACAAACTGATTCCAAATACGTGCACTGAGAAATGCACAACTATCTTCTCAGACAATTCCAGTGGGCTTTGCCCAATTCATTAAAGACTGTTTCAATTTCCCAATTAGCCAGCCAGCTGATATTCAGTGCTTTCAAATAAAAAGGCTGACAAGAGACAATTCAACTACCCGGCGGAGAACATAAGGATGATCAGCTGTTAGGTTCAGAAATGAAACAAGCCTCAGGCTTTAAATGACAGGGCAGAAGTTGATGAGCAGCAGCGAAATGATAACCAGGTAGACAATGCAGCATGGCTGGAGCAATGCAATTAAGTACTGGAATACAGGTATGAAGATGATTCAAGAACAGTTTTTTTAAAAAATGCTGAGGCCTCAAGCTATTTACTAAGCTGCAAAACAAGTCTCCAAGCATAAGCACACCTCTAACAGTCCCCTGAACACCCAACCCTTCCAGACTACAGCTCATGGACTGTTTGGAAGATATCCTATGAAGATTTGCAAGCTAAAGCAAGGTAAGAAAAAAAAAAAACAAATCATTTTTCTTCAGACAGTATTGCTTTTACTAAAGCTGTCTTATCTTGAAGGGCAATTTTAGAGACATGTAAAGCAGCCTCACACTGTTTCTGTCAGATGCCACTTCTTTAAGCCATTAGTGTGGAAAAGAAAGGAAGTTTTCCATAGCTACATGGCATCTATATATACACACACATTCTGTTACTTGACAAAGAGAAATTACTTTCTAACCAAGTCAGTTTACTTAAAAGCAACTACAGCCTAACTACAGAAGGAAAAAAAAAAAGCTAACTAAAGCTACAACAATGCTTATCTATCCTCACAGATATTAACTATCAAAACACTAACGAACATCAATTTTCTGCAGGTTATGAACATCACAGAAGGCAAAACTCAGCTACAAGTCTGCTTGCAAGACAGCCTCGGGAAGGTCTCAAATTTGAAACAGTGCAGGGCAGAGATGGTTTAATTACACCAAAAATGAGTGGGGTACAGTACCATTCTCAACCCCTCTCCTCAAAAACTCACAAGCTGAGACACACAATAAAGATATAAAGAGGAGGGCATTTTTGTGTTCACCTTCCTACTGCCTTATAAAATCACTTAGTTACACATATACTGTCTTCTCTATACACAGAAAAAAACAAAAAAACCAAACTACAATGAACAGAGAGGCTACAGCAACACATAAATACAGAAAATTTACTTGAAGCACTTTCTGTGACCTGCTGAACTACAAGGGCTTATGGTGACATTCAAGGACAATTTTTTGATAACACATAGCAGCTTCCAAGTGTCACATACCCAAAAGTTTAACTTTTTTCAGTGTTGCCTATAAGTGAACAAAAGGTTGACAAGCTATGCTGTGCCCAGGTAGAAACAATTCCTCTGGAGTACAGTGATTCAAACTTCTGACAGGCAAGATTTGCAGCACAAAAAGATACCAGCCTTCACCACAAGCATGTACCAGTGGAGCAGTATCTAACCCCTAAGAATCAGATTACTGCACAGCACAACAGCTCAAAGGCTTTTTAAAGTAGGCTTTTAAGCAATTTAAATTAATACTCAGCTTTGTAATTTACTAGCTGTATTGTTTATTTTTGCTTAAGATTTAGTTCATAGAGAACTAAAGTCAAATGTAATGCACGTCCAGTTTGGGTTCAAATTTTAGCTATTTCCTGTTATAAAATCTTAATTTAAAAGGTTTTCCTAAAGAAGTACACTGTAGAAAATTCTGAAAACTTTGGATAGTTTCCCCTTTAAGCACTCGACAGATACCAGAATATTCAGGTACCAAGAGCATCCAGAAGACATGTATTTCTTTTCACAATGTAGCAATAGATCCTCTAATGGCTTGGCAAGCTTGGCCTGAAATCTGAGATTAAATTGATTTTTCTTCCACAACAACCACCAACAAGCAAAACTGCATCTCTTATAGCACTGAATCTTCCCTCTGAGTTCAGCAGATACGTGGGTGAAAGTCATGGCTGAAAAAGACTGTTTAGCTCTCCCTCTAGCTAACATCAGTTAGTTGTAGTTAACAAGAAAAATATTTTAAACTGAATTTTATCTAGTAAGTAAAACACGCAATGATGACTTGAACATTTTTATTCTGCTCTAGAAGATATTAAAAGCATGGTAAAGAGGAGTGTTATCTCTGTTTGCATGCGCAGTGTGCCCATGTGACTCAGCCCACGACAGACCAGCACCCGCATCCACTCAGTTTTTCATCTGCATTAAATATTCAGATATCTAGAGAAGAGGGAGACTGGCTGAATTGGAAAGACTTCAAGGGTGGATTATAAGTAAAGAATTATGGATATAAGTACATGTGGGATACGTGTTTGTTTTTAAAACATGCAGAAATGGATTAATTTAGAACAGTGTACACAAAGCCATGCTTACCAAATGAGCAGAAGTAACAAACACACATCGGGGACAATTTTACATAGCCAAGCACAATTCTCACTCGTGCCCAAGATGTTGCCTACCCTCCCACATCCTAACTGCATACGGGAGGGGTCTTGCTTCAAGTTTCACACTGTTGTTGCAAACAATGCCTTGCTGAAGACTGTAAATGCTTTATGATAAAAAGCGTGTTTATAGCTGTTCACTATCTTTCACCCAAAATTCCTGCATCTCAACAGTAATTTACAAAGTTACTAGCCCCTTTTTTAAGCTGTGGTATGACAAGTAGGAAGTTAAAACTACAAGTGCTTCCAGTGTTTCATAACTTATATGGCTCAATTAGTTATTTTTCTGGAAAATAAAGATTAACAGAGGTGTAGTCCTCACAGTGCATGGCATCTTGAAAAGAGGTACCTGATCACAGCCTTAATCTGACAATCACTGGATAAACAGCCATGATGTTACTATTCCCTTTATCTTATACCATGCCTCTAACAGAGGTTGCCACCTACAGACTATCTAAGTATAACTCCATCCAATTAATTATAAATTCAGATTAGTTAACTCAAAACATGCTTAGGAACAGCTTAATTGAGAAGGAACAGAAAATTTCTGGCAAAAGGACAATATCTAAAATGACCATAACAAGCTTCAGTGATTATACTCCAACACTGGTTTTGCTGCTGAAAACTTAGTTTCATGCAGGAATGGAACTTGCTTAGCTCAGGTGCACAGGAAGCCAAGTAATGCATACATAAAAACTCTACACCCAAGTCATTCCACTTGCTTATGCTGCTACTCCTAACCAATATATTATCTGTATCAAGCAGTTAAGTTAAATCATGTTAAAAATAACACTGAAGGAAGTTTGGGGGACATTTGTTTGGTTTTGTTTATTTTAATTGACCACAAGAAAACAAATGCAGTCCCTACAGTTATGCCTCACACTTCAAGAAGGTTCTTGTCAAGCAAGGCAGATAAACATACAAGTGGGGGAAAATAAGAATTCCGATTTAAAATCTGAACTGGGGTTTTATTAAAACCTCACTTGTTCAGAAACATGTACAAAAGGGCAGGGCCTTTATTCTGTACATGAAGGCATTACAGCCATTTCTTTTATACCTGAGCTTATTCAGTCACAGAAACACATTTTAACACCTTAATTATGATATGCTAGGTGTTTCTTGGTATGAATTACACAAAACCTTATTTTGAAGTAATCACAGCCTGAAGACCTTTACACAGTAGCCAGGACTTCTCACTACCTGTAAGCCAAAATGCAGCCAGCACCCTCACTTCTCCAGCTCAGCCTTGCTCACTCCACAGCCTCTTGGAAAAATCTGAGAACCTCCAGTATGATGCTAAGCAAGAGACCAGCACAGCCCAGAGAGAAACAAACTCTGCTTCAGTACCCACACAACTATGACTGGGAGATTACTTTAGCACAGCAGGATAGCAACGTGCCCATCAGTGCCATTAAAAAACACTGACTGCACCAAAAACTCCTGTATTTTGGTAACCTAAACCATAAAGTCTGCCCATGCTCGTTTCTCACTGCAGTTGGCTATTCATAGCTCATCTGCTTGTCTGAGTCGTACTAAACAACACTCCTGGTACTCCAGTTCCAAGCAACACTTCAACAGAAATGAGCTTTGTTCTAAAGAATTTATCCTCAAAGAATTTCGCAGATGTCTGTCTAACAAAGCAAGGGAGTATTGGGACTTTTGACTGAACTAGGAACTTGAGTGTCAGCAGGAGACTCGAGTATTATTTTAACAGTGTTCACCTAGACAGAAAAACTGAGAGATAAGGACATGTAATGCTTCTGGGAAATACAATTCCAAGGATGCAAAATTTTCAAGCAGACTCTGCTCGTTTGCAAATACTACACTTTGCATAGGTTACAAAAACCTTACACTGCGAGATGCAAAATTCTTTAATTACTTTTACAAGTAAAAAAAACAAAACCAAAAAACTCTGCTAAAGTGTAGTCTCAAAGGAACAAAAAACCAACCAATCAAAAAACCAAAGCACCAGCTTCATGAGCATGGATGTCCTTTGCAGCACAAGTGCCGGTGGGAGCCTTTAGAGCCATAAACACGGGAAAGGGAAGCCAACACACTGTTTCAAAAAGAGTAGTCCAGCACAGCTTATGTACTCAAGTAGCACGTTCAAATACCGACAGGTAACAAGGCTGCTCAGACCGAGTAAATAAAGTCTTATTTTTAAAGCATTTGCAACAACGATGCATTTAAGCAAAACTTTTCAAGATTTAGCAAAGGCTTTCGACAAAAGTTAATTTAAGAAAAACAAGGTCTTAACAACAAGACTTTGGATAGTTTCCCCGTTAAGCACTCGACAAGCGCTGTTCGCCCGGCGGAAGCAGGAGGCGCAAGCCGCGGGCGGGTGCAGCTGTCCCCGCCGGCTCCACCACATCGTGCGCTACCCGAGCTCTGAGGGCGCGCTGCGACAGCGGCGCATTTGCTGCTCAGAGCGCTCTGCTGCGCCCGCGGGCAGAGCGCACCGGGCACACCCGCAACAGCCGGGGCCGGCGCGGCTTTAGGAGCCCGGAGGGACCGAGCGGGGACCCGACCCGACCCGCAGCCCCGGGAGAGGCGCGTCCCGGCCGCCCGTCACATGCAACCCTGATCCGCACGGCTGGGCGGAGCGGGCCGGCCGCCCCCCCACCCCCACCCGCCGGGGCCACGCAGGAGGGCTCTGCGCGGCCGCGGAGCGCCCCTGCCCCGCGGGGCGGCCCCGGCACTCACCGGAGCGGGGCCGGCGCGGCGCAGCTCGGGCCCAAGCAGCGACGGCAAATGGCGCGCGCTCCTCCTTCTCCTCATGGACGGCGGCGCGACCCCGGCAGCACGCGGGGTTTCCCGGAACTGTTTCCAGGGACCGCTGCTTCGCCCACTCAGAAACCCGCGATGCCGATGGGCAGCCGGCGGAGCCAATGAGATGCGAGAGGCGGGACGCGCCATTCCTCCCGGCGGCCAATGAGAGGGAGGCGCAGTAACCAATCGCGGGGCGCCTTCCACCCGGCGCGCCGGTAGGGCCGGACTGGGGGCATTTAAAGGGGCAGCGCCTGCCGCGGCCCGAACAAAGGGAGCGCGCGGGGCCGCTGCGCTCGGCTCCGCCCCGCGCGCTGGGGCGGGGCCTGCGCTGAGGGGGCGACCTCGGGCCCGGAGCTGCCCCCGGGCCTGCTCCCCGCAGCCCTCCCAGGACCCCGGCCCGGAGCTGCCCCCGGCCCTGCTTCCCGCGGCGCGCCCGGGACCCCGGCCCGGAGCTGCCCCCGGGCCTGCTCCCCGCGGCGCGCCCGGGACCCCGGCCCGGAGCTGGCCCCGGCCTGCCCGTGAGGCCTCCCGCGTTCCCCGAGCCGTGGCTCGTGTGAGCCCCCGGAGCGGGTCTGGCCGCGTTTCCCTCCAGGCCCGAGGCAAGGAGGAGAAGCCATGCGGCTGCGGGAGCTGCGGGTCAGGCTCATCTCAGGACACTGGCGTGCGGGGCTGTGCAGCTGCTAATCTGTAATTAATCGGTGATTAAGTCTTACTTGCCTGCTCGCCAGATTTTCTTGATTAGGCTCTCGATGAGTGCAGGCTGGACACAATAAATAGATAAGTCAGGAAGGAATCGGCCTGTTGGCAGCGATGCTGTTGGGCTGGCTTCACGTGCTTGTCATGCTGTTGCATAACGTGGAAGTCAATGTGTGCTGGGTTGGCTCGGGCTGAGTCCCAGAGTGCTGTGTCAAACTAAACCCGGAGATCCTGCCTGTGTGTGTTCCTATGGTCATGTCAGCTGTGCATCTGGAGTCTGGTGAACAAAGGTAGCAGCTCATGTACTCTCAGAGAAGGTTCTCCCAGCACCTTCACCCCAGAATACTCTCCAGAAGATGGCATGTACCTGTGTGGTAAATCACGTGTGTGTGATCTCCCACCACTGGTAATGTGGAACTTGTGGGAAAAGTGGTGTGTGATGCTCAGTGTTTCCAAGCCAGAAGCTGAGGCAAGGTTGTGCAGATACTGGAGGTTTTCAGTCTGTCTTGCTGAACCAGTCTGGTGACAGACATGCTGCTTCTCGTGTAGAATTGGCACTGCCTCAGTGACTTCCCTCTTGAGATTTGGCATTAGAGCCGGCTCTTCAGTGCTGGGTGTTGGGTCTGCTGTGGTGTAGAGATGGAAGGAGGGGTAATCATTCATTGCCTTGTCCATCCCAGTTCATTGCAGTAGCTTTTCTGGGAGTTAAGAGTTATGGAGTTCTCACAATACAAATATTGAGAGGAATTGAGAGAGCTGAGCATCTTTAGTGGTGCTTAACAAATGTCCTGCAAAGCTCTTAATTTTTTTTTATAATATAGTATCCAGGAGTGAATTATGAAGTATCATGACATATGTCCTGTCAGCTGGCAACTGAACATGATGAGGCTAAGTGTGGTAGCAGCTCTCTGGTCACAGAGAGCACCAGACAACTTTCCCAGGCATCCTTCTGGGAAAGGCTGTGAGAGGATCAGAGAAAAGAATGAGAAACAATTCCTATCTTCACTTGCTGCACCTGGTATTGTGAATGTGTGGAATGTGTCATGGAGATTTGTTTACCAAAGGGTAAACTTCTTAATTAGCCAGTGGTGATGGTGTTTTAAGTAAAGGACTAATTAGGTCCACCTGTAGCAAACTAGGGTATAAAAGTATGGGTTTCTTGATGAAGATTAATTATCAGCCTTTGAAACACATGGAGTCTATGTGAATTATTACCCAGCTGGGGACCAGTTACCTGACAGCTAATGAGTAAAAAAAAAAAATAAATATATATATATATATATATATATAGGTATATATGTTTCTGCAGTGTAACAGGCATCCTTCTGGGAAAGGCTGTGAGAGGATCAGAGAAAAGAATGAGAAACAATTCCTATCTTCACTTGCTGCACCTGGTATTGTGAATGTGTGGAATGTGTCATGGAGATTTGTTTACCAAAGGGTAAACTTCTTAATTAGCCAGTGGTGATGGTGTTTTAAGTAAAGGACTAATTAGGTCCACCTGTAGCAAACTAGGGTATAAAAGTATGGGTTTCTTGATGAAGATTAATTATCAGCCTTTGAAACACATGGAGTCTATGTGAATTATTACCCAGCTGGGGACCAGTTACCTGACAGCTAATGAGTAAAAAAAAAAATATATATATATATATAGAGAGAGAGAGGTATATATGTTTCTGCAGTGTAATAAATTGAGGATAATTTCCAGAATATCTCTAGCAACTCCCACCCTCGGTTCTGTGTGCTTTGCACTGCTTTGTTCTTTGGTCTCATGTTACACACTACAGCCTCAGCCCAAAATGATCTGACACCTCTAGCCAGGAAAAAGCCATAGCCTGCAGGTATTTGGGTTAGTGCAGTGCCCAAGCAGTGCCTCAGATGAGGCCCTAGATGCTCTGAGATGATGAAATTTAAATTTTTGCTAGATTTCTCAAGTTTATTTTTCGCTAGAAAATCCCAGAATGAGCCTAGTACAGCTCTCTGTGATTGGAGCTGAGCAGGTGCCTGTGAGATCTGATTTAGTCCTGGGCCAAGACAAAACAAAAATCATCTTGGAACCAAGGAGAGGGTTAATCTCAGCTGCTGAGAGCTGGGAGGGCAGGACAGTCCCCCTGCCTCTGGCAAGGAGGCTGCCCTGCTCTGCTCCTTCAGCACCTGTGAAGGGACAGAGCAAAGGAAGTGAAGGGATCCAGCTTTTCCACAGCTCTGTATACTCTGCAACCTGTTGGTCTTTTTCTGTGTTCTGTGGCCAGAGGCTGCTGAGGTTCAGCGTGTTCCCATCAGTCTGTTGCTTCTCTTCTACACTGGGCTGAAATTCCTGCACGTTCCACATCAGCATCAAGATAACAGTGTTGAATCTGCTGTGATTTATAGGTGAGCTCTTAACTTATATATGGAATATGACATTTCCTGATGCTCTAGACTTCTTACCCTGACCAATCATTAGTGCAGCATGTTATGGATAACATGTTACAGATGTGCCCACCTCCAGTAAATATCTTGTTCTCTGGAGCCCTGCGTGCAGCTCTAATGTGTTTGCTAAATCCCAGGTTTTCAGGGGGGGTTTTAAAATCTTCAAGCTTTATTTATCAGTAAGGAACTTTCTGAGCACCCCCAGCGTTCCACCACCTCTACAGCAGGGAAATGCTCAGGAAAATTCCTGCCTGCAGAGGCCGTGCTACTGTTATTACCCTGTGCACATATGTTTATTTTGCCTCACACAGACAGTTTATTTGATTTTTAGGAAAACACACACATGTGTTTTGTCTTTCTCTTGCCTCTTTCCCTTTATCTGCTCTGGAGTGGGGAGGTTGAGAGTTACAAAAAGGCCCAAAGAGACCAGACTGGGCTACCTGGGTGCCTTGCACTAAAACCAGCTTGCTAAAGATCTTGGATCTCACTTTCTTTTCTTTTTTTCTCCACCCCTGAGCTAAGGATTCTTGGCAGTTTCCATCAAATTTGTGTAGGATGCAGCACAAACCGAGCAACTTGGGAAATAGATTCTGTTTGCTGCAGCAAAAATCACCAGCTCAGTTTTAGCTGAAAACAAATTGCACTTTTCCTGCTCCTGCAGTGGCCAAGCAGTGTTGGGCTGTGATCTTTAGAAGCACAGTACAGACAGAGGATCTGGTGTTAAGGAAGGATAAGCATCTCATTAAGACATAAAGGCTCCTCCAAAAAGTGAAACTTCTGTGCTGTAGGTGGCTATGGGAAGTCAGAGTGTTGTGAACAGAGTCAGTCCAACCCTGAAGAGCTAGCAAATAACCAAGATGCACCAGTTCTGGCAGAGAAGAGAGAAGAATCCCTTCCTTTGTGTACCCCTGTGCCTGTGGGACAAAGCAGGGGACAAGTCATGCCATCAGCCATTCCAGAGTGATTGAGGAAACCCAGAACAATTAGTCCCTTTATGACTTGTGATCTCAGTTCAGCACTATCCTTGCAGCCTTACCAGTTTCAAACATCAGTTTTGGTTTTGGTTGTTCTCAACCAGAATTGCCTGGAAGATGGCAGAAGTGTGTACCTTTCCAAAAAAACAACTAAGTCCTGTCTTCCAGGTTGCAGGGACTCAGGGGGAATCCTGGAAGGGTGTCTAGACATCTTGTGACTCTTTAACTCCCCAGCAATCACTCAGGTCCGAGGTATAATCTTGTTTTACTCCCCAGCATTCCTGCTCTGGAATCCTGCAGCAGTCTGTAGCTGGCATCTCTCCAGCTACAGGTCCACAGGTCCTGGAAGTGGTGAGTGAGCCCAAACTGCTTGCTGCAAATCATTCAAATGTTTGTGTAATTTGCTGGTGGCCACGAAAGCTCTGTGGTGTAGCAAGGTACTGACTTGTACACTGCAGCCCTGAGGGACTTCAGAGTTTTTAACACCTGTGTCTGTGGCACAGTAGATCACAAAGGTCCAAATCACTGCCTGCCCAGTCTCACAGCAAATCCCCTCCCTTCCAGCTGCTTGGGCAGAGGCTCTGTGGCTGAGCTTATATGGCATAGTGCACCAAAATGCAGAATAAAACCCAGAGATGTGAATATAAACCCTCATCTGTTCCCTTCTGAATACAGAGTTGTCCTAATATTTATGTCAGCTCTCCACAGTCCACTGAAGCTGTTATGCCAAACTTCTCACTAATGACTCTGCAGCTTTTGGGGAAGCCAACCCCAGCTGACAGATAGAATAGGAAAAACATTCTGAAAAAGGTAAAAAAATTGGATTTTTAAATAGTTATAACACAAACCCAATAGTATATTGCTTTTCATTACTCAGTTCATCTCACCAGGTTCAGAGAGGTGGGGAAGGTGCTCATCATTTGTTAATTAGCCCCATCTAAAAGGAACAAAGCCCACAGGTAAGCTCTGTGCACAGCCTTGGCAGAACTCACCACGCCACCATCTCTCACATCTGAGCACAGCCAGGCAAGGACACTCCATAGCCTCTGTGGGTGACATCTTCACTGAAGAACAGTGTTTAAGGGCACAGAGTGACAGTGGTGTCACTTAACTCTGCACACAGGATGTGCCACTAGCTGCAATATTCACCAAGTGAGGGCAGCCCAAAGGGAGCAGCTAGCTGGGGATGTACCAGGGAACACAGGAGAAACTGGGACACCTTCAGCCAGCAGTCACACCCTTGTAAACCACTTTCAACATCAAAGGCACCATTTGCCTCCTGCACTTTCAGACAGGGCAGTTCCAGGCAGGACCCACCCAGTTCCATGTCGCTGCCACCCTTCACTGACTGTACCACGGGCAGCTTTCAGCAGTGCTGCCAGGGAGCTGTTTGGGCAGATTTAGACACAACAGGAATGACAGAACGACTGTTTTCTTACCTGCCTGTTGATACACAAAGTCCCCTTCTTGTCAGTGCTTACTGCAGTAAGGCCACATTGTTTCAGGTCACTTACTGTGTATTTTTTGGTGAGTTTCCTACATTAAAATGTCAAAAGTGATTGAAACTGCATAAAATCAGTTTTAATCCATCCTTCATTGGAAAGAGACTTAGCTAAGGAACAGAGAAGTTGAGACAGTAAAAAAAACCCAAATGTACTGGGCAGTTGTGGAAAAGAGCATTCACATGGAAGTCAGGATCTTGGCTGTCTTGCTCCAGGGACTAGGACCACCACAAGTGACACCAGCGTAACTTTGAAAACTATTTTCCTCTCTCAGTTTATGGCACTAAACACTAAGTGCAACAAGTAAATATTTTTTTTTTTTTTTTTGTCATCTGCTAGTTCAGTGGAGATAACACCCCCCAGGCCACAAAGAAGTTTACTTGAAACAAAATTACTTCTCTGTTAATGGACTGCTACACCGGTACCATTTTCCCCCAACTCTTCTTGCAGCTTTAACTTAAAAGTTATCCCACTAGGCACAAATGGTCATTTGTTTCATACAAATCTAAAAAAAAAATAGCTCAGTTCTGTACAAGTCTGCCTACTCAAGAGTGCAGTTTTACTTTGGAAGAAAGTGAAGTTTAAAACCAGATAGTGAGGTTGATTTGTTTTGTTTTCATTGAACAGTTACTGAGCAAGAAAGTGAGACTGAGTAGTTTATTTGATGTTGTTGCAGACCATAATTGTATGGATTTGGATTATGTTGACCAAAAAATACAGTCTTCATGCTGTTTTACACCATGATCAGTATTGGCCATGCACATTCAACAACAGCACCAGCTTAGTCATCTTTAAGCTGCTTGATCTTATGCTTATGGCGCTCGATTTCTTTCTGCAGACGCTCAATCTCTTTCTGGTGGTGGTGGATCTCTTCCTCGTGGTGTTTCCGTAAGGCAGAGAGCTGCTCCCGCTCCTTTCCCCTGCAAGAGAGGACGGCAGGAAATGCAGCCGAGCGGCGCGGGAGAGGCCGGCCGGGCCGGGCCGTGCCCCGGGCCCGCGGGGAGCGGCTCCAGGCCCGGCCCCGCTCACCTGAAGTACCGCTCCTCCTCGGCCGCCTGCTTCTTCCCGAAGGCGCCGCCGGCCTCGCGGATGGAACCGCCGCCGCCGCCGCCCTTCCCAGCGCCTTTACCCAGCTCGCCCAGCTGCGGGAGAGACGGCGGTGAGCGCGGAAGGACAGACGGGCAGAGGGACAAAGCGACAGACGGACGGAGGGGCAAAGGGACAGAGCGACGGGCAGAGGGGAGCACGGACAAAGGGACGGGCAGACGGAGGGGAGAAGGGGCACTGTCGGAACACCCACCTGGTCGGCGCCCGATCCCGAGCTCCAGCGCTGCTGCTGCGCCAGCAGAGCCCCTCGCAGGCCGCCCCGCGCCGCCACCGCCGCCACGGCCGCCATAGCCGCCTGCCCTTGGAGCGCCGGACGGGCCGCCGGGCGGGC